CTATTTTATACAGTATAATAGTAACTACTTCAACAGCTATGCTTAGGACTGAATGGAAAAATCAATGTAAAGCACTTGCAACAGAGTGGCTGACAGATATGATGATGATGATGATGATGATGCAAGAGGTTATAAAGTCTGCACTTAAGAAGTGGTATCAGGAATGCAGAAGAGGCAGCTGGGCTTAGAAGACCTTCAGCAATACCTGGGGAACAAGGGAGAGAGGTCCAAGATAACCTTAGGCAGTTTGAGCCAGGGTGACTGGAAGTTTGCTGGTGTGATCAGAGGAAAGGGAGAAGTTGGGAGGAGCTGCCCCTAAGGACAAAGAGGGCATCTGATCAGTCAAAAATGCCATTGAGGAGTAGATGGGACATCCTGTTGGAAACAACACAGTGGGCTTGGGTAACCAAAGTTGCAGATTCTTGATACTGTCCACACTGGAGTGACAACTGAAACTACTGAGGGAGCCTTCTGCGGGCTAATGAAGAACAAGACAGTTGGGAGAGAGGAGAGAATCTTGGAGCCAAAGAGGAACAGGAGCTTCCTATAGCCGGTGGGGCCTAGAGAGAGAAGCCAAAAGAATGAAGTTTTGAGGAGCTAATAGTCAATATGATCTAGTGGGCACGGGGAGGAAGAGAGACAGCAAGAACAGGAACAGCCATTATAATTTGGGGGATGAGAAGTCCTTGGAGGGTGTACGTTGGTCAGGAAGAGAAGTTGGGGAGTAAGGATTGAATGAGTGAATGATGAGTACATGTGTAAAATTTTGAGTTTGTTGAAGGCAGGATGGGGAAGGGCGACTGGCCAAGTGCTGTTCCTTGTAGGATGGGGTTTTTGGAGGGAGAGGATTCTGTGTCCAAGCAGCAACAGATTCCAGCTAAGAGAAAGAGCCTGGGGCAGTTTAGGGCAGGGGTAGCTCCTGGGCAACCATACAGGAGGATGTACCCTGCGATTAGTGACAGCTAAGATGAAGAACCACGTAGAAGAAGGTTTATCACACTCACACTGTTTGGCTTCAATCTCCAGAACTTTGAGGTCCTTTCTTTCCAAGTGACTTAGAAATTCCCCCATGGAAGCCAGGCCAGGAAGACAGTTTCCAGTCCCATTTCCAGATCCAGTACCCAAATGACCCAGTGTTTCTGTGCACAACCAAGAAAGCTCTACTGTCGTTCCAAATATCAAGCAGCAAATGCTATTTGACTTGTTCCAAATTACATCTCAGATGAGATGGAGCTGTTCTCTTAGTAGATGTGACTCTGGATGGCACAGACACACATTCTAGATTGTAGAATTAGTCTTTATTCACTCTATATTATTTTTAAAAATCTATATAGATGCACACGTAATACCTCTGGTGTAGACCACTTGCTTTATAGTTCCTATGGATTAACGTGTGGATGGAAATCTTCCTTAGCCTTCCAGGAGAACTCTCCGTCTCAAATCACAGAGAGTTGGCCTTGCTCGGTAGCTCTGTGGGCCAGCAAGTATCTTTTAGATACCTTTTAGACTCTCTTCTCCTGTCGCCTAAGGAGCTCTGCCCAGTGCTAGGTTTAGAAGGCTCTTTCAGAAAACCAATGAACAACCAAACACAATCCGATTTCACTGAAGAAAACTAGTGGAACTTCCTAGAACGGTAACTCTGGTTTGTAACTGAAAAAAAAGGAGGACCCCCTTACCTCCATCCTCTTAAGTCTTGCCTCCCTCTACTGACATTTCATTCTGGCAGACTCTCTAAAATGCGTATCTAACCTTCCCTTCATGAGTGAAAACCTCCCTAAGTCCCACCAGAAACTCAGTAGAAATCCTTAGCGCGGAGAGTAAGACCTTTAAGGCCTGATTTTCTTGCTTCTCTAGATATCTCCCTTCCTTCAGGCACTGGGAAGAGCTCTTACCTGCGTCAGGTCCTAGCACAAAGACCCCTTCATCCGTAAACTTTCTCCCCTTCCCTCTCCTCCCCTCCCTGCTTTCACCAACGCTTCTGCACCGACCTGTCCCTACAAATCCTCCTGCCTACGGAGAAGTACTCTCCCCACAGGCTACCTTTCAGCTGGCATTTACCCTCCACAGGTAGAAACCACTTTACACAGAAACCGCCTGTTCACCAATTGGTGCTGCCTGCTGGAATGTATGTTTATGAGGAAGGAGCCATTCTATTTTATTTGCCTCTGTACTTAACACATGCCTGGTAGAGTGGGTGGTTGCTGAATATTTAATGAATAAATGGCTAACTGTACAAATAAATGAATGCTTTCTCTTTTGGAGTCCAATGTATTTCTGAATCTCACCAAATATTTGAACCTTCAGGCAAAGTAAGCAGGCTTGAGGGAAGGGGAGGTTCTTCTCTTTGCACTGAACCTTGGTGATTTGAAGAAGAAGTAAGTAAGATGTGTGACATACAGGTGAGCATTTGGCACAGTAGTTACGATGCTGCTTGGGTTACTCACGTCCCATCTCAGAGTGCCTGGAGCTGAGTCCCCAGTCATGCACCCAACTCCAGCTTCGTGCTAATGCACACCCTGGGAGGCAGTAGGTGGTGGTTTAAGTACTTCAGTCCATCCACTCCTGTGGAAGATGTGGACTGAGTTCCAGGCCTCTGGCTTTGGCGTGGCTCAGCCATGACTGTTGCAGGCATTTGGGGAGTGAACCAGCAGTTGGACCATCTCTGTCTGTCTCTGTCTTTCTCTGTCTCTCTGCCTTCCAATAAACAATAACAATATTCCCTAAATATGGACTGCGGGCAGTGCCTGCACCATGTCTGCCTGGGAACAGTGCTCATGAACACTGCTGTACAAGGAACGGCCTTGCACAGGGATAGGGCAGGGGCCAGCTTCAGGGTCCCAGCTCACGGAAGAGTGCAGGTGTCAGTTTGATAACTCTATCTTCCCTTCCATGAACAGGAGGCTGTGGAGGGCAGAGCAAAGTGGAGATCAGAGGAGGAGCAGCAGAGAAGGGAAGATGTAACTTGCTCCTCCAATTCCATTCATTCAACCAACATTTACTGAGGTCTCTTCTCTGCCAGGCACAGGGCTAGGCTTGTACCCCGGGGGCAGAATGTGCATAAACATCAACCTCCTTTCCTGCCTTCCTGGAGCTTACTGTCCATCGCTGTGCCCAGAATTAATCATGCAAATAAATGTCATGTGCATCTTAAAACTTAGGGGATCTGGCCGGCAGGGTCAGGGACGGTATGCAAAGCTTCCTTGGGGAAGGAGGGAACTGATGGGTCCAGGATGACTAGCAGGAGTATGCGAAGGGCCTGGAAGAACAATCAGGCATGCCAGGTGGAGGAACCCACACCAATGGCCTTGCAGTGCCCAGCAAGTTCAAGAAGGAACCGCCTGGGCCAAGTTCAGTTCTGCAGATGCTGTCTGCTTCTTCTCAATCAAGCGTCTGTATTTATTTTTCAGAAGGGGAGGCTATGGCCGGGACTTGTGTGAGTGCACTGCTGATGGGAACTGGAGGTTGGCAGTGAGGGACCGGGGTGGTCAGCCCACATCTAGAAGGTGCAAGCTCCCCGTCGGCTGTCCGTCATCCTCATCTGGACAACTGCAGGTTGCTCTCAAACTTGGATCCAGCCTGGCTGGCCGTTAGAAAAGAAAGGCGGGCGGGAGGCCAAGCGCCAGACACGGGGAACTGATCCCCCTACTTCAGGAAGAGCATGGCGCAGCAGCTATATTTGAAAAGCGAGATAAACAAGAGCTCAGCTCCCGTAGATGGGGCACAACAGCTGTGGAAGATTAATCACACGCGGCTGCGAGTCACCAGGTCGCCAGAGGCCCGGAGGCTTCCCTTTCGGTGCCCCCACCAGAAGGCCGGACGCGCTCCTATCACGGACCCGCAGCCTCCCTGCTCTGCGCTTCGGGGGTCGCTTGACCACCCAGGAGCTCGGCACCTGGCGCCCAGCTGCAGCCTGCGGTTCTGATAAATTGCACCCAATTTCAACCCTTCTGCCAGGGAGACCTAAGCACCGAACATTAAGGGGTTTGTTTTTTAATCACTAGGAGAGAAAGAGAGAAAGAGGAGGGGGAAGAGGAGGCAGCAGCGGGCGGGTAAATTTATGGCACTGCATTAAAGGCGTTCTATTTAACCCCCTCCCTCTCTCCACCGTTAAAAATAAAACACAATGCATAAAGACCAAAACTACCTTTTTTTTAAACGCCCGGAACAAATAGCTTTCATCATCTCCCCCGAGTGTCTCGGGTCCTCGGGGCAGGTCAGCCGGGCCGCTGGAGCCGCGCTAACCTCAGTGGGGGCCTGTGACGGTGTGTGTGTGCGCGCGCGCGGGTGTGCGTCCGTGTGTTGGGTGGCTTGGGGGTGGGAGGTAGGACTGATGACTTCTACACTTCGCTTCTGTCCACCTGGCCCGGGAGCTGGGCAGCGCAGGACGGGAGAAGCCCCCCCCTATCCCCGCCCAGCGGCCGCGGCGGACGGCTGCGCCCGGGCTGCGGCTCCCGACCGCGGCGGCGGAGTCCCGAGGCTGGGGGCGCGCGTGCGTGCGTGTGTGCACGCGGGCGCGCGCCGAGTGCCCAACACGCTCCCCTCCTCGCCCCCAACCCCGGCGGGCACTCACAGTCCCAGGAGCGCCACACGCTCCGGCACAGGCGACACACAACATGCACACGGGCGTCCGGCGCGCGCCACGCAGCAGGCGGCCTCCCCGCGCGGCTAAGCCCGCAGCTCACGGCCCGGCTGGGCACGCATTCCCGGACGCCGCTTCCTGCCCACCCCCGCAGACACTTGCCTGGCCAGGACCCCTCCCCGCCCCCAACACCGCATACACGGCGTGCACTTTCCGGGCGCGCCCCCACCCCCTCCTTCTTCTGGCACTAAACCCAGAGAGGGAGGCGCTTCGCCTGAGCGATATTGAGAAATAACTTCACTCACACCATTATTCATAACCAGGGACCCTCTTGGGGGCATCCCAAGCTCCCCAAGCCCCTGCTTCTCACTCCTCGGCCGCCCGCCGGGGGGAAGGGCAGGAGGCTCGCCCCATTACTCACCGTTTCCTCTCCGCCTCCCGAGCGGAGTGGGCAAGTGAGGCGGGTGAGGAAGGTGCGCGGTGCCCCCGCCGCCGGGCTCTCAGCGGCCGCAGCGGCTCATCGCCCCCGCGGGCTGCCCGCCGGCCGCAGCCGCGTCCGGGGCATGTCAGTCCGCCGCCGCCACCGCCGCCGCCGCCGCCCGCCCGCCGGGGCTCGAGCGCTCGCAGCTGTCAGGGAGCTGCGGGGCAGCGCATCTGGAGCGCGAGGTCTGCGCGGCAAGGGGGCTGGGGCCAGGGCGAGGAGGCCCGGGGTGGGGGGCCCTCCGCACCGGTCCTAGGGCCGGGGAAAACCCGACCGCAGCTCCCGACGACGCCCGGGAGAGGCCCGGAGTCCCGGCCGCAGGCGGCGGGGGATCCCTGCCGGGAGGGGCGGGAAGCAGAGCAGCCCGGCGCGCCCTGGCGGCTCGGAGGGACCCCGGCTGGGGCTCGCGGCCGCGTCGCCCGGGCTTTCCCGGGGTGGGAGCGGGCCGGCTCTCCGCCTCACACGCCGTCACCGCGGGAGACGTCTCGGCCGCGCCGCGCGCAGAGGGGACGCGCGGAGGGGCTGGTTTCTGGGCGAGCCGAGAGCTTTGCCCATTAAGCTGCCGCAAGAAGCCAAATCAAAAAGCCAATCTCCAAGCCTGCAAAGCGAACGTCACCCTATCAGCTGGGAGGGGAGAGCCGCACCTCACGACGAGCCGCGCGTCTGCAGCGCCGCGCGCCGCGGGGCCCCTCTCACAGCGCTTCCCGCCGGGCCCGCACCGCGCGCCGCCTCACGCCCGGAGAGCCCGGCCAGGACCGAACTCGGACCCCGCCGCCGCCCACCCCGGCGTCGGCGCCTCCCCGCCCGCGGCGGAGCCGAGACGGCGGCGCGTCCTGACCTGGATTCCCCGGACTTGGGCGCTCCAGGCAGCAGGCGGGCGCGCGGCACCCGGCTTTCCCCTTGTCCTCAGGAGACGCCGCCTGCGATTCCGAAATTAAAGTCTCCACCAAACACATCTGTGGTTTTTAAATATAGCAGGAAACGATTACCCAGGCGGGGTCCACCCAGCGTGGGGGAGGAGCTGAAGGGGATGGAGGTTGGCAGTGGAGGGAAAATAAAACTCCTTTCTCCCCCCTCCCCTGCTTTTTCTCTTCTCTTCTTGGTGCAGAACTCAGCCTGTCATTTTCTCAACCCAAATCAAACAGCAGCTTGTGAGAGACGGCTTGGGTGAGCGCGCTGGTATGTTGGCTTTGGGGGTTTTTAAGGCTAAAAATAAGAGGGGGGCTGCCTCTCAAATTGCTGCTTACTCTGGGCTTGGAGACTGGAGGAGAGACGGTCCTTTGATGCAGCAGGAGAACCAGGGTTTGGGGCTTGGCGCGGGCCGAGTGTCCGCACACAGCTTGCATCAGATGCCTGTAATTTCTGCTATATTTGTCGGGCTGGGTCCTGGAGGCAGCAGGGGTGGGGGCAGGCTTCTCCTCCGAGCGGGGCTGCGTGTCCCTAGTTGATCGGTGGCGGTCGGCACATCTAAACGGAGCACAGTGGCTGGCCTTGTGTGGCCACGCCGGTGCACATGGGACGGCGCGAAAGGGCCCGAATTTGTTCCCTGAGGCTCTGCTGTCTGAGGCCACGTGTGCAGGAGCCAACAAATGATAATGACCCAAACCAGGGCCAGGGGTGGTGCCGGAGAATAGGCTTGTATTGTCTCCGTCTACCTCTTAACTGCGATTGGGGACAACTACCAGCTCCTTTTCTGTTGAGGAAGCTGCCTTAGAGAGGCTAAATTACCACCCCAAGGCCACATGCAGCAGAACCACAGCTTGGAATCGGGCGGAACCCACAACAGTGCGCGTCACTCCCGGGATCCCTGGCTGCTCTGGAGCCGTCTGGGCCCAAGAGGTTAAGTGGGAGTGGAGCTGAGTTCTTTCCTGGTCGCCTGATGCCCTTGTTCCTTTAGCAAGTCACGTGGTAGTTTCCGTGTGGAATTTGAGTCCTGAGTGTGCTCAGCTAGGAGCTCTGGGACCACAGACTCTTAGGGGCCTTGAATTCAGTTGCAGTTCGGGCTGAGAGCTGGCCCCGGGAGGTGTCAACAGCCTCTGAAATAGTGGGATTGACCTTGAGTCTCCTTGGGTTTGCCTTGATTCTGTGTGGTAGAAATGTGTCCTGTGGCAATCGTGAAGGATTTGCTCAAATGTTCAATTACAAGAATATGCGTGGCAGTGTTTGTAATAGGGAATGGTTGGGGCGAGCTTAATTTTCCGACAGAGAGAACTCGTGGAGGAAATCATATCGTCCTGTGTTTTACCCTATGAAAATGCTGATGCAGCGTTCTGTGTACTGACACGGGAAGGTTTTCATGATATATTATTGAGGGAGAGAAAAATGCAAAATATTGGATATGACACAGTGTGTGTGTGCGCGCGTGCATTCCGGCGACATGGAAATGCCAAAATAGCAATGGTTATCCCTTGGTGGGATTTCTGCTAACTTCTTTTTCCCTTTATATCAATTTTATTGAGGCATACTTTACACACAATAAAACTCATGCATTTTAAGTGGATAGGTTGATGAGTTGTAAGAAGAGTTCCTATAAGTAGAGCAACAACCACAAACAAGGTACAGAATATTTTCGTCTCCTCCCACAAGTACCTCAGGTCCCTTGGGACTCATCTTCGCACCTTCTGAGCAATCATTGATCTGCTTTCTCTCAGTGCAGATCAGTTCCATTTGTTCCAGAATTTTCTTTGTTTTACTTATTGAGATCTATTGATATTTCTCCATAGAGTATTACCTAGTCGCTAAAATGGCAACAGTGACAACAATAGGTACATAATTGGTCTTGGCACTTTTTTAGTAAAACTATCCAAAAAAAAAAAAAATCAGATAAGAGCCTGATCTTCCTGTCTGTGTCTGACCAGGCCTGGCAGGGTAGGAAGGCAGGAAGTGAAGGAGGAACCAGAGCCTGTTCAGTAGCCATAGGCAGAGCCATCTCATGTGGGTTTTTTGAGCTCTAGGTAGGCTGGCCTAACAAAGTGCAGCTCTACATTCTGTGTCCGCTCCAGTAAAATGGAAATAATAATAGCAACACACACTTCATGATAGTGTTGTGAGGGGAAGTCAGTTTCCAGTGTAGAGAAACTCCCAAATCTAGGTGAATTCTCTTTCTCCCGTGCCTCATCTGCCCCCAAGCCCTGCTTCCCATCTACTCTGCGTTCCTCAACCAACCTTTGTGTGGTTATCAAATCTCAGACACCTTGACCTCTGGAAAGTCTCACTTTTGTTCTCTCTTGAGGCCCAGAGAAATTAGGGAATTCAACCCAGTCACAGACCTTATCAATGAATAGATAGAATATGATATGAGCTGTTTTGTGTCCACAAAAATTTGTATATTGAAGCCCTAAGCCCCAGTTTCTGAGAATCTGCCTGGATCTGGAGGTAGGCCCTTAAAGATCATCAAATTAAAATGTGGTAGTTAGGGCGGGGCCTAAGACAACATGACTGATTCTTTACAGGGAAAGGCTATTAGAACACAGGTAGACAAAGGGACAGCCTTGTGAGGACACAGCAAGAAGACAGCCATCTGCAAGCCAAAGAGAGAGAAACCAAGTGTGCCAACACCTTTATCTCAGATTTCTAGTCTCAGGAACTGTGCAAAAAAAAAAAAAAAAAATTGCTGTTGTGGAAGTGTGAGGAGTTTCATTGTAATGGGCCTAACAAACTAAGGCAGAATCCAAGTTTTCTGACTGGTTCCATGAGTCTTTGTCATGGAGTGCCCGTCTTCAGCACACAAAGGTCCCGATTGGGTGAAAAGTGGGAAAAGGCCATGCAGCATCTTAGTTACACACTGTTAGTTACTGTCATGCTCCCCAGAACTCCACAAGTAGGTGTCTCTCCAAAACTGGGGCGTTAGATATTTCCCAGGGAGCATCCCTGCCCAGATGCCTTCAGTACAAACAAAAGTGTTGCTTCTTACATACAATCTGGATGCCAGCATCCTGTAGCCCCTGGACAGTACCATCTATAGCAGTCAAGGAGAAGCAAAGCAGACCATCCAGCTGAAGCTTAAAGTAAGCTCTAAAGCAGTTGCAGGCAAGATCCAAGTTTAACAAGTGCCATTCGATAATAGGGTAGTTCAGAGAGACAATTCTTCCCTGTGGGTTGGTTATACAGGGGTACTTCAAAAATATTCAGGGAAGAATGGAATTAAAAGATAATGCACATTTTCCAGGAACTCTGTGAAGGTCTCTTATATTATCTCTTTTTTTTTTTTTTTTTGACAGGCAGAGTGGACAGTGAGAGAGAGAGAGACAGAGAGAAAGGTCTTCCTTTGCCATTGGTTCACCCTCCAATGGCCGCCACGGCCGGCGCGCTGCGGCCGGCGCACCGCGCTGATCCGATGGCAGGAGCCAGGTACTTATCCTGGTCTCCCATGGGGTGCAGGGCCCAAGCACTTGGGCCATCCTCCACTGCACTCCCTGGCCATAGCAGAGAGCTGGCCTGGAAGAGGGGCAACTGGGACAGAATCTGGCGCCCCGACCAGGACTAGAACCCGGTGTGCTGGTGTGCTGGCGCCACAAGGCAGAGGATTAGCCTAGTGAGCCGCAGCGCCGGCCTCTTATATTATCTTAACCACGCTATAACTTGCATTTCACAAATTTATCACCAATTATGTTTTCCCCTCTAGTGAAATTGTTTATTATAGCATAACATATATAGAAAACATGCACACATAATAAGTGCAAATAATTTTCACAAATAAATTTTAGTTAATGATCACTCAGAACAATAAACATTCCCAGTACTTCAAGTGCTTTTCTCATGCCCCCCCCCATTCTCCTTTCACCTCCTTTTCAAAGGGAACTGCCTTCCTGACTTCTAAAACCACACTTTAGTCTCACGTGATTTTGCACTTTATATAAATGGAAGCATATGTCCTAATTTTGTTCAATATAAACTTTTATGAGATGCACTCATATTGCATATAGCAATAGTTTGTTATTTTTATTGTTCTCTAGCTTCTGTTGAATAAATACACGATTTAATTTTTCATTCTGCTGTTGATTGACATCTAAATTGTTTCAATTTGCATGCCTGTCTTTTGATTCACATGTAGTACTCACTTCTTGCAGGTATACACCTGGGAATGGAATTGCTGACT